ACGAGAGGTGGTTGAGGAGGGGCGGCGATCGGCGCAGAGGAGCTGGGGTCTAGGCGCGGCAGCGAAGGGCCTGGTCTAGGCCGATGATAGGGGTGGGGAGGTGGCTGGGAATGGTGGTGGTGGTTTTAATTTTTTTTACATTTTAATTATTTTTAAAAATGTTAGTTTTATAGTGGTTAATTAATGTTAATTAGTAATAATCATTTCTTTAAAAAAAAATTAATATTAAAACTTATTTTTGACCAATCATGTTGTGGCACGTGTAAAAAAAACTTAATAAAAAAAATTACCTACTTAACCGGGTACAGGTCACTTGGGACTATTTAACGCGGATTGACATTAAGGGTCGGATTATTAAAAAATAATCGAATGTTGGAATTATTTTGGGCGGATGAGACAAAGGTCTAATTATTATGAGCAATTTTTCTTTATTATTGTGTCTATTTAGCCACCCTAATAATATTACCTTACTATTTAGCAATGATTAACTTATACTAATACTTTGCCATTATTTTTTGTTACACGTATTATATATTATTTCTTAGGGAAAATTGATATTAATAATCCCAATTTTGCTCCACTTTCTTTTAATAATCTCAACTTTGGATTATTCAGGAATTATTTCAACTTTGGGGGCTGTTTACTTTCTTCAATCTCAGTGGCCGGTTACCTGTTGAATAGGTTTTGTTTAAAAAAATTGATTTAAATGACACGTGTCATAAGTGAATTGGTTAAAAAAAAATTTTAAAAAAACAAAATTAAATGAAAAAAAACCACCAGCCAAACCCTAACTCCCCACCGCTGAAACCTTGACGCCGGCCGGCTGCCGCTATTCCCCCTCTCCCTACGCCGGTTTCTCCTCTCTCCCTGCGCCGGTGATGCAACTCATCCCCACCGCCCTCCATTTTCTCTCTCCTCAGTATTCCCTGAACTTCAATTTTTCGGGTTTTGTTTTTTTTTTTGAAGGGAAATTTTTCTGAGTTTAAATAAATGTGAAATGAAGAAACTTTAATAACCAACCACTACAGTTCCCAATTTCTTCCAACACCAAAAAAAAAAATTATGAATTTCTTCTTCCAACCATTTGTATTTAGGAGTGATTAAAGGGTGTCCCACGTCTACCCAGATCGCCAACTAACTTGTAAGTCGTAACCCACTTCACATTTTTTTGATTTTTGAATTTCTGGGTTCATTGCGGCAAAATGTCGAACACCTTGTATTCAAGTTCAATTTTGTCATTGCGGCAAAATGTCGAACACCTTGTATTCAAGTTCAATTTTGTTGAAAATATGGAAAACCCAGTTGAAAAAGGGGAGAATTTGAGGTATAAAAATGGTGGATTGGTTAAACAAATCTTTAAAAAGCCAATTCAATTAGTTGACTAGATAATAAAGGCAGCAGATGAAGCTGCTTCGTTTAAGCAGGAGTGTTTGAAGTATCAGGGAGGGGGAAAATCGGAGACGGGTGCGGTGGTAGAGGGGCGACGGGCCGGCGCGAAATGGGCAGCGGGCTTGGCGGCAAGCTGGTGTTAAGGTAGGATGGTGGAGAAGGGGAGGGGGCTGGTGTATTCTGATCTTTGGGTTTTGTTTTTATTTATTTTAATTTTTTTTTTGGACTAATTAGGACTTGACATGTGTCAAGAAACCTAATATAATAGGTCATTGACTTTTGTTTACCGGTTTGGGATTGAAGAAAGTAAACAACCCCTAAATTTAGGATTATTTCAAATAATCCAAAGTTGGTATTATTAAAAGAAAAAAGAGTAAAGTTTGGATTATTAATATCAATTTTTCCTATTTCTTATAGTTTTATTTTTTAACTAACCTTATACAAAATATCTCTTTAGAGTTTGGTTCATGCGATTGCTTGAATTTGCTATGGTTATAGTATAAAACTACTATATTTCCAACCCATTTAAAATCAAATACTTAATGACAATAGTGATTTTATATATACTTTCATGACCCGGGATATCGTACGGGCCAAAAGCTAGTTTAGATACAAACCTGATTTCACCAAATATTATCGAGCTTTTTAAAAATTCACCAAATGACATCGCGTTTTTAAAAATTCACCAAATGCCGTCGAATTTTTCAAAAATCCGCCCAATGCCATTGATGAGTAATGGCCGTTAGCTCCATTAGCCAAAAGGATTAATGATGACACGTGTCATCTTATCATTGATTCTTTTTAATTATTATTTTAATTAATAAAAAATAATATTTTTTTTCTCAATTTGCGTGCCGAAAAATGTTATGTTAAGGTTTTGGCGAATAGTTTGACCCTTTATGAGTTCAAGTTAAGCTCGTAATTGGCAAAAACTTAACATAAACGCCTCGTTTTGCGTGTTAAGTAAAACTCGATTTGTGTATTGTTATAATTTTTTAACCATGAAAATTGTTCAGGTATAGTTTTGGGGGACATTTGGGCCCTTTATGGATTTAAATTAAGCTCGAAATTAGGAAAAAAATGACGTAAATGCCTCGTTTTGCGTGTAAAGATTGTTATTTTTTTACCGTAAAAATTGCAAAACGAGGCATTTACGTTATTTTTTTTCCCAATTATGAGCTTAAGTTAGATCCATAAATGGTCAAAATGACCTCAAAACCTTACCCAATCACTTTTCATAATTAAAAAATAACGACACGCAAATCGAGATATTTCTCGACATACAAAACGGGGCATTTACGTTATTTTTTTTGCCAGTTCCGGGTTTTATTTGTCTCCATAAAGGATCAAAAAGACCCTCAAAACCTTACCCGAGCAATTTTTCCGGTTCTAAAATAACGACACGCAAATCGAGATATTCCTTGAAGTGCAAAATAGGGCAGTTACGTTCTTTTTTTTTGCCAATTCCGAGCTTAATTTGTTTCCATAAAAGTTCAAAATGAACCCTCAAACCTTATCTGAGCAATTTCATGGTTATAAAATAACGATACGCAAATCGAGATATTCCTCGACATGCAAAACAAGGCATTTACGTTATTTTTTTGTCAATTTCGAGCTTCATTTGGAAACTTACAGGATCAAAATGACCCCCAAAACCTTGCCTCAGCAATTCTTTATCACGAAAATCAAGAAAAAAATATTATTATTATTAATTAAAATAAACCACTTATATCATAACACGTGTCATCATTAAACTTAATGACTAACGGAGCTAGCTCTGTTAGTCATTAAGGGCATTGCGTTTGGTGAATTTTGAAAAACGCGATGGCATTTAATGAATTTTCAAAAAGCTCGATGACATTTGGTGAAATCACCGTTCTTTTTATACAATGAAGAATTTTTTAAAGCAAATAATTATGGAGGGAAATTCTTTTAATAATACACTTCCAACTGTCGCTTTTGGTTTCTCCTTTAGTAGTATATAATAGATAGATTAGATTAATTAGTGAAGACACTATCTAGTCCAGGTTTTTACACTAATAAGTTCACATAGATAAGATCATGGTAAGGTCTGACATCACCTTATAATCTTCCCAAATAAAGTCCGATGATTTCAATATACATCAACATTTTATTTGGTGCGAGTGGATTTAAGGATAGAAGTGTCAATTCGATCGGATAACCAAATGGAATTTGGGTTGATCCATGACGGGTCGGGTCTGTTCGGGTCGGGTATATTCCGTTCAAAATTACCCTGTTAACCTACCTCGGGTCGGATCGGGTTACTTTCGGGTCGGGTCAAATTCAGGTTAAGATCTGTCGGGTCCAAATTGGGTTTGGGTGGGGTCAATTTCAGATCGGTTCATATTCAATTTGGATAAATTAGGATCGGGTTTAAAACGGGTTTGACCGGGTTAATTTTAGGTTGGATGACTTTTGATCGGGTTGGTTCCGGTTCAATTGATTTCGGTTATGTTAAGTTTGGTTTGATTACTAAGGTTGATTCAATATTCGTTCAATTCTGATTCAGATACTTTTTTAAGTTTGGCTGAATTTTGGTTGTTTACCAAATTTAATATTCAAATAAGTAAATTTTTTAAAACTAGAGAAATTATTGAGCTATATATATATATATATATATATATATATATATATATATATATATATATATATATATATATATGTATATATATTATTTTGTTGTTGGGTCGATATCAAGCCATTCATGTTTGACCTTTTCATATCTTGTCATTAATATATGTTTAAGTAAAAAAAAAGGTAAATAATAGGTTGGGCTTAAAATTATGGTTGATTTGAAATCATGTCAAGTCAAAATCAGGTCAGATTAAAATCGGGTCGAGTTAATATCAGTTTGGATCAAAAATAGATCGGGATTGAATCGGATATTTTTCGGGTCAATTTTGGTTCGGATTGAGTTTAGGTTGGGTCAAACCAGTTCGATTTGGGTTCAAGTCGGATCAAATCGGTTTTGGGTGAGTTCAAGTCGGGTCAAATCGGTGCAGAGTTAAATTCAAATCGGATCAAATTCGGATTCGGGTTGAGTTCAGTTTGGCTACAGATCGGGTTCTGGTCTTCAATTTCTCAAATCAAATCGGATTGATTACAGTTCGAAACGGATGGTTTTTTTCGGGTGGTTCTGTTTTGACACCTCTATCTAAGGATTGCTGAATTTTCCAATAATCCTAGCCCAATTGTCTTTCCTAGCTCAAAGACTTTTTTCTAAGCTAAAATCTCTTTCAGGGGTGTCTGAAGTTGACCCGACCCAAACCCGACCCGAAAATAGCGGGTTTGGGTTGAGATTTTTCGACCCGAAAACTTAAATGGGTTGACAGGAACCGGGCTTGAAATTAAATGGGTTAGGTTATAGTTGAAAATTTCAACCCGAAAATGACCCACGTAACCCGAAATTAATTTTAGGTCAAAATCAGGTCGGGTCAACCCGAACTCGACCTAAAAAAAGTCTTTATAAAAAAAAAAAAAAAAAAAAAAAAAAAACTAAAAACACCTACCTATGTGATTACCATTCCCAGCCAATACGGATAAGCCCAAAAAATATACTAGGTATAAAACCCTAAGTATAAATACCTAAGTATAAAACCTCTCCTTCTGTCTCAGGCTCTCATCAGCCGTTTTGGGGCGTTTTTTTTCTCTCCTCAAATCTTTCATAGTTTCATTCTCCATTTCTCCTCAAAGTCTCTCGTTTCAAGGCTTCAAGCTCAAAGAGACAACGATTCAACATCTCAGCTCTCGTCTCAAGTCAGCTGAAAGGTAATTTTTAGTTGATTGTTTTTGTTTTCATTTTGGTTGTTTTTTCGATCTCAAGTTCTCCATTGTCGATTTTTTTGAATGATCTCCAGCCGTCAAAGCTCAACATCTCAAGCCTTCAAAACTCAAAGGTAATTGGTTTCGGTTTTTATTTATTTATTTATTTTGTAAATACAGTTTTTTTAAATACAATTAATTTCTCCCCTTTTTATTTTTTAGGTTAGTTATACTCTAATTAACGTTTCATGCGTATTAAGAGAAAAATTAAATGACGTTTTTCCTATTTGTTACAAAATTGTTTGGGTTAATTATTGTTGATGCTGCTTATAAAATTGTTGCTGATTTGTTTCATGCGATTATAGTCTAAATCAGATTTTATGCGGTTTTAAAGTATTTGGGTTAATTATACTCTAAATAACGTTTCATGCGATTTGTTGCTGATTTGTTGTTTGATACTTTGATGGGAAAGGGTATTTTGCATGTCTTTATTTTTCGATAAATCCTCTGTTATTAAGGATAACCCCCCCTTTTAGCCCAAAATCCATAAACCTTAACCCAAAATCGAGCACACTTAATTTCCAAACCTTTTCTTTTCTCATTATCAAGAGTATATTGGTTATCTTGTGAAACTTTAAATTTTAATGGTTTATTACGTGTACCATTCGATACATACTCCCTCTGTCCCCATTTTTTTTTTTGCCCCATTTGACTTTTCACGGTCTTAAACGCGCGTCTTAGAACGCATATAACTTCATTTTTTTATATTTAAAAATTATAAAAATTTGATATTAATATAACAGTTAATGAGACAAATCCAACAAGACCCCACTTGACTATATTATCTCTTATAAATTAATGAGAATGTACGATCAAGATTTTAAAGTTTGACTCAATTATTTGGAATGGAGCAAAAAAAGAGGGACAAAGGGAGTACATGACATCACATTACTATCATTAAAATAGAGTTTTATGGACATGGTAAATTTCAATGGTACTAATGTGGTATATGATAGTATCATTAAGACTTCAATGATACTATACATATTTTTAATTATACACAAAAAATACCATTGAACCATTAGTATAAAATCATGAATGTAATTGTCTAATCTACATTATGAAAACATTAACACGCTATTATGCGCATTTACCAATAAATGGCACACCTCATCTTTTTCTAACCAAATCATATTCTTTGTAAATCAAAATGACTTCCCTTTTTGTTCAGGGTTCACCATTCCCCTATTTAAAAAATTTCTATCGGGTTTATCTTCGCCGAATTTACAAGTGCCCATGGGCGCACGTTAGACAAACCGTATTCAATTATACAAATAATCCCACATGTTAAAAATACTAAAGCAAAACTTTGATAGGCTTGAGACAATTGAGCTTTAAACAAAGAGCTTATTAGTATTGAGTATCCAAAAACACAGTAAAATTAAATAGCAATTAAAACATGAAATTCAAAAAAAAGAGGGGAGAGAATTAATACATGCGAGAGAAAATTAGTGTCTGGGTATAGTGGGATTTGAACATTTGAGCGGACAGAAGAACGAACAACTAACAATGGAAGTAATCTTCCGCAATCAATGCCAATTTTTGATGTTGTAAGTTGTTGCTTCACCACCATTTTATCACTTTGTCCAACTTTTTTCTTAATATTTGCTTTAAAACCAATTAATTTTTCATCTTGGATAAAAATTAAAGCACATATAATTTGGGTGTTTGGGTTGTAATTGAAAGAATTTGCGTTTGGTGGTATCACTACATTTGAAAGACGATAGATGAAGAATGATGCAAAAGAACTAGGAAAGCTATACTGTTTTGGACTTTTGGAGATATTAATGACAAAAATAAGCTCATACCCCCTCGCCCATACGCCCATACCCAATCCAAACTCTTAAGGGGGATTCTGTTTGGAAACATTTCCGATTACCGGTCATACAGCACATGTTATTTTGGTTATTCTCTTTTATTACGTTTCATGTCTTTATTTTTTTTTGGTAACATCTCTTTTATTAAGGATAACCCCCCCCCCCCTTTTAGCCCAAAATCCATAAACCTTTACCCAAAATCGAGCACACTTAATTTCCAAACCTTTTCTTTTCTCATTATCAGTGGTAATCTTGTGAAACTTCAAATTTTAATGGTTTGTTACGTGTACCATTAGATACATACTCCTTCTGTCCCTATTTTTTTTTTTTTGCCCCATTTGACTTTTCACGGTCTTAAACGCGCGTCTTAGAACACATATAACTTCATTTTTTTATATTTAAAAATTATAAAAACTTGATATTAATAAAACAGTCAATGAGACAAATCCAACAAGACCCCACTTGACTATATTATCTCTTATAAATTAATGAGAATGTACGATCAAGATTTTAAAGTTTGACTCAATTATTTGGAATGGAGCAAAAAAAGAGGGACAAAGAGAGTACATGACATCACATTAGTATCATTAAAATAGAGTTTTATGGACATGGTAAATTCCAATGTTACTAATGTGGTATATGATAGTATCATTAAGACTCCAATGATACTATACATATTTTGAATTATACACAAAAAATACCATTGAAATTTAAAATTTCACAACAAATAACCAAAATACCCCGTGCTGTATGACGGGTAATCATATATCGTTGAAATATAAAATTTCACATAAAATAACCAAAATAACCCGTGTTGTATGACGGGTAATCGGGTATGTTTCCAGAAGGCCAGAATCCCCGTAGGGAGTTTGGATTGGGTATGGGCGTATGGGCGAGGGGGTATGAGCTTTTTTTTATCATCAATCAGTATCTCCAAAAGTCCAAAACAGTACATCTTTCCTAGTTCTTCTTCATCATTCTTCTTCATCTATCATCTTTCACATCAACAATAGTGATACCACCAGTCACCAAACACAAATCCTTTCAATTACAACCCAAACCCCCAAATTCTATGTGCTTTAATTTTTATCCAAGATGAAGAATTAATTGGTTTTGAAGCAAATATTAAGCAGAAAGTTTGGACAAAGTAAGTGATAAAATGGAAGTGAAGCAGCAACTTATGGCATCAAAAATTGGCATTGATGGCGGAGGATTACTTCCATTGTTAGCTGTTTCTTCTTCTGCTCGCTCAAATCCCACTTTACCTAGACGCCAATTTTCATTCTCATGTAATAATTCTCTCTCCTTTTTCTTTTGAATTTCATGTTTGAATTGCTTTTTAATTTTACAGTGTTTTTCGATACTCAATACTAATAATCTCTTTGTTTAAAGCTTAATTGCCTCAAACCTATCAAAGTTTTGCTTTTGTATTTTTAACATGTGGGATTGTTTGTATAACTGAATACGGTTTGTCTAATGTGCGCCCATGGGCACTTGTAAATTCGGCGAAGATAAACCCGATAGAAATTAGTTTAATAGGGGAATGGTGAACCCTGAATAAAAAAAGGAAGTCATTTTGGTTTACAAAGAATATGATTTTGTTAGAAAAAGATGAGGTGTGCCATTTATTGGTAAATGCGCAGAATAACGTGTTAATGTTTTCATAATGCAGATTAGACAATTACATTCATGATTTTATACTAATGGTTCATTCACTAAGTCCCTGATTTGGTTTGGATGTAAAACATTTTCAATGGAAAATTAGTTTTATGCAAAAATATTATTTCAAGTAAAAGCACAATTGCAAATTAGTTTTCCTTAGTTTGGTTGTATACGAGGAAAGTTAAAGAAAAATACAAAATAGGAATGGGAATGTTAGGATAGATAAAAGGAAATTAAAAGGGAGGTAAGGAGGAGGGATGAAAATGTGCTTCCCTTGTTTTGTAAAAGAAAATGTTTTTTATTGTTAAGGATGTATTTTTCCACCGTTGGAAATACTGTTTTCCACCCCTTCACAAACCTAACAAAGGAAATTTGAAATTAAAGGGAAAATCATTTTCCATGGAAACATTTTACATTAAACCAATTAGGGCTTAAGTGTCTTTCCTGCCTTGATTTTGTTGACGCACAAGTGATTATGCAAAGTCTCGGTCATAAATTTGATGCATGAGCATAATTGGAATTGAAAATCTTTAACATGTTTGATATCTGCAACCTAGTACAGGGTCAAAATAGATTCTAGTAAATAATTACTATCTTGCTGCTCTTTAGTTGGTGTTGAGGTTATTCTTATGCTAACCCTCCAAGAAGGAAAAAAAAGGTTTCTTGTGCTAAATATGTAATCATCCCTTTTTTGCTTCTTGAATCTTGAGTAGGAATTAGCTCGTTGTTCTACACCTAATTATTTAATGGAGCTTATGAGATCGTAATATATGATTTGAATAATTAGTGGTTACATTATGTTGGGTTGGTAAAGGATGTGTTAGCTTGAACAACGTGACAACCTGGTTATTTGGTGAGGCTATTGAAGAAAACAAGGGATTTTCTCGATCTCATCGGTTCTTTAACCCCCCCCCCAAAAAAACAACAAACAAAACTCTTCGGTTATACATGAACATATGGCTTAATAAAGGTTATTTCCTTTATAAATTGTTTTTCATTTGTGTCTCTTTAAAAACTTGAATGAAATAGGGTTTCAATGAGAAACAAAGGAATAACAATTTTTTTAAAGGAAACTTATGTCATTTTATTTTTTTAAGAACCTTAATTAGTTTGAAAACAAACCTTTTAGCCAATTTTTAGAACGGAAAAAAGTTATTAATATCACATTTTTCAAGTACAACTAAAATCACAAGGTTACCAATTGAGAATTAAAATTAAGTTTTGGTTACCAAGGAGAAAATCCAAAACATATGATTATTGTACTCCAAGTAGTTCTGATACAAAAAAGTTATTAATATCATGAATTATGTTATTAGAACAATAGAGTTGTTTTTTTGTTCAAGTAGTTCTGATGCTAAATATATGGCTCTTATTTGGTTATTGTTAAGAGCGATTAATCAAATTTGCACGAAAATAAGGAAGTTAGCCATAACCAATTATCAAATGTGTTTGAAAAATTAACTACCAGCTTGCTATCCAAGTACTCCATCCATTCTCGAGTTCGACTTGCTTTATGTTTTGGTCTGTCTAGAAAGCAAGACTCAATCTTACTTTATTCTATTTTTAGCAATCTCATATTATTAGTTAACCCCCTTTTACTCCACTCCACAATTTATGCACCTTTCCAATTTAAAATTAGTCTCTTACATTATCCAATTCTTTCTTACACCTACCTACCTTTTTACTCCAGCTCTTTTACTCTAATTACCTTTTTCATGCACCCACTCACTTTTTCTTAACTATCCCGTGGGCTGTGTTGTCATGTAGACTTCACTTGCAAAAATTGAGTTAGTAGGCTTGTTGGGAGTATGTTGACAACCATCTAAAAGGTCTTTAGTATGTTAGCAATTTGACAACCATTTAAAAATCCTTTTAAGAATTTTAAATAAAAGGTGTATATATTTAATGAATTCAATCACCTAAATAAAATTTAAAAAATACCCCACCTAAGGTAAGTGTGTATGTGCTTAAAAAGTTCTTGTGTTTTAACTCATTGAAATTATCTTCTCACTTTTTATTTTAATTAAAAATACTAAGATTTGTTTTAAAATGGCATCAAAACAACTTTCTAGCAAATGGGTCACACGCTGGTTTAAATATGTCAACTTTGTTTTTAGCTAGTTGGAACTATTTGATAATTGGCAGAAGCTAGAGTTAATAAATTTAACACACTCCAAAGTTGGTGTCAAATGGATGTACCATAAGTATATCATTAAATGTGTGTTGTGTTGTTTGATTTATACAGAAAGACCCATGGTTACTCATAAAAGTTGGAAGATGCATAAATTCATAGAATATATTGGATAGGAGGATAGTGTTATATTGTCTGCTTCTGTGTGCTGTATGTGTTGGCCCTGCCTGGCGGTCATTACATAAGAGACATTTAAGGTCGTGAATATTGTTTGTTGTATTGGGTGATTTTCATTTTCAAAATGCCTGAGTTTTTTTGAGTGTGACCATCGGTGTGTCCAAATGCCGATATGTATATCATTATAGGACACTCCTATATGCCATTATACAGTCAATCTTGGTAACGTTGATGATGTTTTAGTGAACTAAGGGCAATGTACATGTTTTGACTTTGGTCTTTAGTATCTATATTTTTTTGTATGAATATCATATTGAATGAAGAAGGGACCAGAATTTTGTAGAATTCGATAATATCCGACTAAAAGAGTTTGGTGAAGCAAGTGAAACTAATTCCATGTTTGAATGATGACCTGTTAAGAGATCAAAGAGATCAAACCTGTACCATGGCCTATAAGTGTCTTTCTCTTCTAATATGGTCCCCAATTACTTGAAATATTGTGTTTTTCTTGTCAGGACGTTATGTTTCTCCTGCCTTTTGACTGTGCAATTGGTGTCATACCTATATTTTCTATACCGACTCTCATAAGAAACATTAATTTTTACCGGAATCCTCAATTTGTGTTCACATATTCTTATACAAACCTAGTCTCTTGAATTCTAGGTTTTGGTATTTACACATTGATACACTAAATTTTGATTGATGATAAATAAATGTTTTTTATGTTATGAAGTAAAACACAAGGAAACAAGGAAGTTCAAATCAGTCTTCAGTCCTGTCCGAAGCCAGGCCTCAAATGTTGGTGTTGGATCAAGTGAGTTTGATGGAAGAGAGGAGTTTAATAGTCAGAATATATCTTCAAATGGCTTATCCACTGAAAGTTCCTCTCAAATGTAAGTATCAGTTGTCATTGTTGCAAGTTTGTAACATTATGCTTTTATTTGTAATCTTTATGTCATAAAAAGTTTATATTAGTTTTCATTGTTGCAAGTTTGCAACCAAGTAAGTTGTTGTTTGTAGTCTGTATGTCATAAACAGTTGTTTTTATGTGAAAACACGTATGACTGACAGGCATCACCTAATAATAAATAAGCCTATAGTCCACTAACAAGGTGGTGAAGGAAGTAGGGTCGTCGTACAATATCTTTTTGATCCTATTATATTTGCGGTCTAGTGTTTTGATGCTGGAATAATTGAAACTAAGACAATAATTGAATAGGGAATAATCAATACTAAGGCCTTGTTTGGTTGACAACATAAAATGGGAAAAGTGGAAATTCATGGAAATTGATAAGTTGGATAGTTGTTTGGTTGACATACAAAGCAAAAATGGAGGAAGTGGGAATTCATGGGAATTTCAACTTCCTACAAAATATGAAAAGTAAATTACCAAGCCCCCCTTGGTTAATCAGGTTTCATGGGAATTTGAAACCCCCGCCTCCCTTTGACTTCCCCAATTCTTCACTTTCTCTCTCTACTTTCCAAACCCTAACTACTCAACTTACATACTTTAAATCTCTCACCCTTTCTTCATCTCTCAAATTCTAAAACTTTGTTACATCTACTATCTTAATACACTCTATTTTATCCTCGTTCTCTAAAGTCTTATAAGTTTCAAATATTCCAAAGAGAAACTTTCAAGAACTCAAATATGGCACCAAAAAGGTCAAGAACGGGTTTGAGAGTTCGAGATAACCACAATCGGAGATTCAATAAGACCCAGACTAGATTTTTAGGACATAGTCATCGACACTGCAGACTAGCGCATGCACGCGCCTTATATATGAGGCACCATTTTTTTTTAATAATTTATTTATTTATATACTACTTTCTAAGTATTAAATATGTCAAAAAAAAAAAACTCAAATTTAATCTTTAAAACTGATTTACAATAACTTTGTTTTTTTTTTTTTTTTTTTTTTTTTTTGTAAAAACAATAAGAAAAGAGAGGGAGTTTAAAGTTGAAAGTTCTAGATCCTCTTAGAGGGTAAAAAAAAAATTCATAATTGTCAATTAATTCCTACTCGTTTCATTCATATAAATCCTTTAAATGATATGGAAATTGATGATGAGGTAAAAATGTTGTTTGCTCAAATGTTTAGTTTGTCTTTTTACACTTTTTCCCTAATTACTTACAGTATGAATTTTTGAGCTCTTAAGTGTTGTGAAATCTAGAGGTGATGACATTACCTTGTACTTTAAATTAATGAATAGAAATATTAATATGAGTTTGCACGAATTTTTGGTCTAAGCAATAATTTTATTCACAAATCGCCAGCCGAATATATCGTCATAAGAGAATTGTGACTCCCTCTATCATCTATATGCCACTCGAATCCACCACCTTGTCTCTAAGGTTTGGCACTGGTTTGCCGACTTTACTATTTTTAGGAGGCATGAGCCTCAAAATGTTCATAGTGAGGAATTGGCCATTTTCGGTAGTTATGTTTACCGAACAACTAACCATACAAAATTAATTTTGCGCACCAACTTGCAGTCCACCATAAGGAGATAGCTAAGGCACCTCACTGCTGTCCCATTTACTTGGGTGGCTTGATCACCCACATTGCTTGTGCTAAGATCGGTTTCGTTGAAACTGAGCATGTCCTGGTCCTATCCAATTCGATCTAGCCTATTACAATAGTGTACATGGGTTTGTAATAACTGTACTCCTACAAAGCAATAAAAACTAAGCTAATTGCATTTAAGGATATACTAAGGTCTATCAAAGTAAATACAATTTCTCACTATCATTAGACTCCACAAATGACTTCTTTATATCTCTGTGTAGGAGTCATTTTTACTCTATAAATAGTTATGGCATTCCTCCAGACCCAAATGCTATAAATTACTTCAGCAATAGCCATCAAATAAAATTTACTAGTTGCACTCGTTTTTTTGGCAATCTTAATTGCAATATGCACTTCTTCTCTGAAAGACTTCATCTGCCTTCTCACCTGCAACACATTGAGCACATATTTCCAGACTTCAGCTGATGAGCTGAGAGAGAGCAAGAGAAGAACTAATGTTCAATGCTCTCTGGAGCCTGATCATATAACTGCAGCTTTGCACACATTCAATGCCCCAACTAGTGATTCTGTCTTTAGTGGGTAGTATATGCAAAACAGTCATCCATAAAGTGAATACAATATTAGGACAAGCTTTAATATTACAGACCACCCTTCTCCACATCACCTTCTCATATGGTCCTTGAAGCTTCTGTTACACAAGTTTGATTGAGAAGCCATCTCTACTGTTATCTGCATTCCACACACCAACCTTACCAATGTAGTCTCTACATCTCTAAATTTTCCTCTCAAACCATGAAGCATGGAATAAGCATAATGAAGACATCCCTTTTGCTTGATATAGGCATAGTGGAATAGGCATATGTGAATTCATTCGACCCAAAGCTTGTCCTTTCTGTAAGCTAATGCCAAATGGAGTTTGGTAAGGGCAGCCTTATTCCACACATGAAGGCATTTCATAATGCTGTATGAACTGTGTCATCTCTTTAGTATCCTACTAAAGATAATGTCTTGTGTGGCTGTGTCTGAAGTTTGTACTGTGATGTGTCTGACAGAATAACATGTTTGTGACTCCTGCTCCTGTACTTTGATGTGACAACCTTTACATTGTTTACCTTTTGACTTCTGATTAGTCTATATCATCTCTTAATCGCATATGATCTGTTGCAATGTGTATTAGGATGACATCAATTTGTGTTTAATTTTCAATTGTTTGGCAGTGACAAGCGTCCTAGCCGAATCCCTTATCCTCTCTCTATAGCTATGGTTCTAGGTGTGTGTGCTCTGGCGTTTTCCCTTGTTATGTTTGTCAAAGGAGGGCCTTCATCAATTTTGGCTGCTATTGCAAAGACCGGATTTACTGCTGCATTCACATTAATATTTGTCTCGGAAATTGGGGATAAGGTAAACATTTTTGTAACAAAGCTTTTATCTGTTCTTTTGAAATTATATTGGTTTGCAGTCTGCACTCTACAGTTTTATTTGAGTCTGATTTAAATTAGAATAATCACCAGGAGCGTATCACATTCCTTGATCACATCTTCTTCTGATTTGAGTATATAATGTTAATTAGAGATGGCTAGTTACTTTGCTAACCGAAATTTGAAAATAATGTTGAACCCATGTTTTTTTATTTTATTTTCTTTTATAATTGAAACATCAAGATAAATAGTTTTCCATATGAACTGGCCAGCATTACTGTGCTGCTATAATAGTAGATGTGATGTTATAATTATGTTTGAGCTCTTGTTTGGTCATCAAGGAGGATCTCCTCTGTACTAAATTTCTGGGTTTATGATAATGACATCCTCCTCCTGGCTGCTTGTAAGGACTTTAGTGATTAGTTCTTATAAATGATATCTTTTAGAAGCATCTCATGATTCTTCTTAGGTTCCAAATTAGCTAGCGTTTTTCAATAGAATCTCTTGGTGTGGCCTGATGCTACTTAGATATGTTTGGAGGACAAGTTCAATAGAGTTAATGTGTGGTACAAACATATTTGAGATTGAATCATGACCAAATATTAATGGCAACCCCATTTATGTTAGATCTAGGCATCTTCAGAACTCATTTTAGAGGCTAACAATGATTAGGGAGATGAATCTTTGACTGATGACCTTAAAATTTGAAAAAAATGCAAAATTCATGGGGACTTAATAAGAAAAAATTCTGTCTTTTGACTTCACTTGTGTATCTTGAGTGCCTGCCTATAGAAGTGCTTCTAAGAGATAATAACATTTTGGAAGAATTTTTTACTCCTACATGGGTAAACCAAAGAAGAGATAGAGAAAAAATATGAGCCTTTTCTGCTAATGTTCGCCTAGCCATTTCCACTCAATTCTAGTGTTTTGAGTTTTTCCACTTTCATGTGCTCTTATATGTAAGAGGGAGTGTATTGAGTTTCAAAAGTTTAGGGTAGGTGAGTGATAAATTAAATGCACTTTGGGTACATGCGTTCAAATTCATTTGGTTTTCAATTGTTTATGGACACCCTTAGGGCATGCTTGGAATGCTAGTAAGAGGGGAAGAAAATTTATTAGAAGGAAAATATCTGACGTTTTTGAAATGCCTAATTTGGAGATAGAATTGTAAAAGGGTAACATGTTCCCCTCAAAATACGGGTACAAGTTATCATGACCCCCTAGGGCTATGTTTCTCGGACTTGGGTACCCTAGGGTAACTCTCCCTTTGAATAATTATCTAGCTTCCTCCTTTTTCCTCATGCCATTTCATCTCATCTCACTCCTCCTTGCCATTCTCCTCAACCTTTGTCTTGCTCTACCTCAATCTCTCTCCTTGTTCTCTCAATTCCTAATGAGCTTATCGTCGAAAAATAAGTGGGTAAAATCTTACTCTATGGTGGTCAAAATTGACCAAAGATTTCAAACCAAAACTTCAATGTCAAACTGACCACCATAGAGCTTGATTTTTCCCATAAAAGACTCTCGGTTGCGATTTCAATAATTCTCTCTTTCCTCTCTATTTTGCCTGGTTTGTGAGGTAATATAATTTGCAATAGTTTGCAAAGTGGTTTATATGATAGGGCTTTTTTGCTGTAATTTTTGTGGTGGTAATGGCTGGTGTTGTCGGTAGTAATGATTGATGGTTGCATCTGTCGTGTCCTCTCTCCATTTGGACCTGTTCTCTTCACCTGAAATAAGGTGGTCGAGTTTGAATCTGATCTTAATTTTTCTGATTTGGTCTAGTTTGTTTTGATGCATTATTTTATAAAACTTTGACCGTGTTTTTAATCTAATCTATCGAAAAAAAATCAATTTGGATCTTATTAGGATCGTCTCATTAATCATGTACTTTTCAAATATATAATTTTCATAATTTATTTTAAATTCACAATTAAAGATATTTAGCAGTTAGTAAACGAGAATTAAAGTTCTGATCTAAATATTTCTGGTTTGATCTAATTTGATTTTGACAAGAATTAGAAATGAGTATCTAAAATAAGTTAGAGAGAAAAAGTCCTTTCTCCATTGTAGACAACTTTGTTCATTACCCTTGAAATAATGCCAAACTTGAGCAAATGAAAATATTATCCCTTTTATTGATCCTCTAGTAAAATTTATACCCTTAAAATTACCCCCTTAACTATTTAAGAGAATCCAGGCAAGCCTTAAGGATTCACTTAGAGAGAGCTTAAACTAATTAGGGAAACGAGGTTGCGACTAAAGAACCCTGAGAACCAATCTGCCCTTTTTTCCCATTGGAGTAACAAGTTCTGGAATCTGGCTTTGGTTTGAAGTACACAAGTTGTTATTAAAGTAGCTTCATTTCTGGTACCATCAAATTGCTTTATAGGACTAATAGCTTTTGGATGAGTATCCGGCTTATAGAAACAACTTGAAAAGTACATTGATTTTAATAGGAAAGCAAAAAATGTAAACAAACTAGTTGATTCTGACATGAAGCTAGATTTTCTTATGATTAATAAATATCATTTGCTAGCTTGTTACTACTCAATTCTGCTGTTACGACTCGTTCTTTTTTAAAGTTTAACTACAACGTATTCCTTTTTTGAAGTTGCAAATTAGTTGCAACATTACTTTATTTGGCCAATTGATTCTCTCTATCTTTCTCCTTATCACATGGGTCCACCTATTTGCTCTCTCTCTCTTTTCTCTCCTAAATAATTATGTATCCCCTCCACTTTACATGTTTACAATTAAAAGAGAACGGAGGAAGTATGTCAGTTTCATGGGGCTCCTGATGCTACTCATTTTGTCAGTTCCTGCTCTATACAGCCCTTCTAATTTAGCTTTTGTATTCTCTTTACATAACTCTTGCATTTTGAAACACAAGTATATAAGCATTTTCTTGTTTTGAAAGTAACCTTCCATACACAGCGATTGGCTTCTGTTGTCTTAGGCATGACTAGTTAGTTTCCAATGTGATGTAGGCAAAGTTATTAAAATCAAGGTTCTACTTTGAGGGCCTTTAGAATTGAATTGTAAAATCGAATCAAGTACATTATACTCAAATTTCATTGAATATGTTTGTATTTTAAGTTAAAAACCTAACTACTGATAGAAAATAGTTGTTTACCCACTAAATAACCAATAATTGACGGTGCAATTATTAATAACTTTGTAGGCATGTTTTAAAATTTGTAAGGTTTTTGTTAGTTAAAAGAAATATGTAAAATCGGGTACAATTGTAATTCGAATCACATGGCTGTACAATAATCGTAAGATTCTAAGATTTAAAACGCGATTTTAATAACTATGGATGTAGGATTATTGGCTGTTAGAAGTGAACGAAAAGAGCCTTTTAATCAGAGTTGGGATATAGCTCTTTTGAAATGCATATTTTACCTACTTTTTATGGAAGGTTTTTACATACTATACTGACAATGTTCAGTATAATGTTTAACTGTAATAGGCCTGAGATCAGATAAACTCGTGCAATTTTCAGATAAATGTTATATTTTCATTTTGTATACCCTTAGACTTCCTCTGGAATGTTATTTTGTGAAATGGAATATTGATAAGTTGCTTTGTGTCCTTGGAACAGACATTTTTTATTGCTGCTCTCCTGGCCATGCAGTATAAAAAAGGACTGGTATGATTCTCTCTCTCAGTGTGTGTGTGTGCGCGCGTGTATGTGTATTTGTGAGCGTACTCAACACATGCACTCATTTTTCACATTCATGACTGCATTTTAAGTTATTAAACTTATGTACAACATTGAATTCTTTCGATAACAGCTTTCTTGTAAATGCCAAAATGAAGGTCATGTCATTTTGCTAATAACGTATCACATATAAACTCATCCTAAGGTCTGATGATGTCATGTATTCTACTTGGCAGGACAGCTAATAATACTATAATAGTACATGACTACATATAGATGCTCAATCTCTCATAAGGTGGATGAAGTACCACCTTAATGTAAATTAATAGTGGAACATTAGAAATTTGAGTATCTGTAATCAGTGAGCTCTAATAAAATTTGAATTTATAAATGATAGCCTTCTTTACATTAGAGTGTGTAGGTGACACTTTTTAGCCAATTCTACAAGAAGTCTCCTGTTTCCCCTTTGTATAAGCAGAATAATTTAGGCATAGTTTCACATGTGCTTTTTGCTCAGGATTAGTCAAGAGGATGCCAGCTAATTTTACCTCTTTTCTTTGTGTTGAAATTGGTTGTCAGAATTTAGGCATGAAAAATTGAATTTTGATAATAAGGATACGCTTTGCCAAATAACATGAAGAGCAGAGTGGAGAAATCACTAGATTAGGTGGAATACTTTTTAACCCAGTCCACTGTTTTCAATTAGGGTTGAATTTGTCAAAGAGGATCTTTTCCCGAGATTTGCATGACACCAAAGAATTGTGTTCCCCGTGTAAAGATGGTCTATTTATCTGTTTAGGACATGTGATGGTATACTTCCTAATCAAGCAGTATAGGGTTAAAAAGACGGATTGAAAGGAACATCTTATAATTAAAACATGCAGTAAATCAGTCTAACTTTTCATAAATCTATCAATGATGAGTTGGCCCTTGAGAAGTGACAACCACAAGTCATGTAGAAAATCGATGAAGCTTGAGAAACTGAAAAAGGAAAAGAGTAAGCTTATCTGACTAGGCCATGCCAAGGTTTATGATAACATGGATTGATGCACTAAATAAGCATAAGATATATTACTAGAACCTTGTTACTCTCTCTGTTGCTAGCGCATGTTTACTTATTCAGAAATTAATAAATAGCCTTCAACCATGTTTCTAGCGCACTAGTTTTGCTAGTGCTTATTGTGTCACTAGTTTCTCCAGGTCTATTACAGAGTGGATATCACTCTATTGGAAGGTTCAAAAAGTTATGGTAACTAACTTCTGTCTGCGGGGTATCTAAGTATTGTTCACCTTGAACTTTTGGGTCGCCATTCTGTGGAGCTACTATATTTCAGTGTTGAATGTAGCTTTTTTATTGCACAAGTCCTCTTTCTGCGACATGATTAACTGTTAAAGCATTTTCTAGGCCATGCCAAGGTTTATGATAACATGGATTGATGCACTAAATAAGCATAAGATATATTACTAGAACCTTGTTACTCTCTCTGTTGCTAGCGCATGTTTACTTATTCAGAAATTAATAAATAGCCTTCAACCATGTTTCTAGCGCACTAGTTTTGCTAGTGCTTATTGTGTCACTAGTTTCTCCAGGTCTATTACAGAGTGGATATCACTCTATTGGAAGGTTCAAAAAGTTATGGTAACTAACTTCTGTCTGCTGGGTATCTAAGTATTGTTCACCTTGAACTTTTGGGTCGCCATTCTGTGGAGCTACTATATTTCAGTGTTGAATGTAGCTTTTTTATTGCACAAGTCCTCTTTCTGCGACATGATTAACTGTTAAAGCATTTTCTAGAGGGAGGATGATCACAAGAATTTAGTGAACTTCCACTGATGGAAATCATATGTTACAGTCTTTTTTTTCATGAAACAGGTGCTGTTAGGATCAATGGGTGCCCTTGGACTGATGACCATCCTCTCTGTGATTATAGGACGAGTATTTCAGTCTGTACCGGCTCAATTTCAGACAAGTATGTGTTTAATACCTCATATTTGAGGAATCATGTTTGTAATTGTTGGCCTAACTTATGTATGCACTGTGTCAGGGAGTCAGGCTCATGAAACCACCTTTTCTATTTTTCTTAGGAAATTCTCATGTTGCCTCTAACAATTGATACGCTTGATTGGTAGCCCCTTTTTTTGTAAAAAAAAATATTCATAAAATGACCCGAATTCAGTTTTTATTCACTTAAAACGTTAATAAGACCTAAATGGATTAGTTTTCACTAAAATGCAAACCATGGTTAACCTATAAATAAATTACTTAAATGGCCCTACAATCCTCAGCTTTCTCCCTACTTACACCACTTTACAGCATCGACCACTACCACCGCACAACTGTTATTAAGACCCTTTTTTAGCCCGGCACAGTACACCAATCACTCTCCCTCCTTGATCCTAATTCATGGGTTTCAAGTACTGCTTTCGAATCCAAGGAGGTTTTACAAATTACAACCATCAAGAACACATTTAAGTATTTGAGAATCCGAAAAAGATGTCATATAGAACCTGTTATGAATATACTTAATCCGGCAATTTCTTAAGATATCTATATTATACATTTCCAACGACACAAATGAAAAGGGCAATGTAGTTCAATTTGAGTTGCAATTAAACCATTTAAGAAGGCAATAAAAAAAATGACTTTTTTCGCCTTTTTTTCCCATTTTTGTCTTAATCACTTTAAACGATTTAAAAGTCTTCAATTTTCCATTAACTACAACCAAAGACAACAAGGGAAGCAGAAAAAGAATGGGGAGCAGCTAATATCGGGAAACTAATTAAATAAATTTTTACAAAATTGATTGATGAAGAAAAGGAGACGTGATATAGTAGCAGGAGTAGGCAGGAGTATAAAACTGGAACAAAAGCGACAAGAAACCCTAGTGAATTATATCCTCAACACTATTCTCTCTCTCTCTGTAATAGACTAACCTAAGGAAGGGTAGTATGGACATTCCAGTAATATTAGTTTATTAGGTTAGGAGTTTTAGCCTTAGTATAAATAGAGAGGGGAGAAAGGAGAAGGTAGCAGAAATGAAATTTTTATTGAAGGGAGACCTTATAGAGTCATGGCCTCAAGTCATTGTTAGAGAGTGATAGCCTCTAGCTATTTTGAGAGTGATAGCCTAAAGCTATTAACCCTATCATTTTGTAACCCTTCCACCATTATCAATCAATATTAAAGCTTTCATCTTTATTATTTCCTCTTATTCAAGAAATTTACAAAAATCAGATTATCTAGTTTAATCAAAGAACCAATCTTTCTGGTGATGTTGGACACTTAGGCGTTAATGGAGGAAAGGAAATGGTGTTGGGCTGGTGGTTGGTGTTGCTAATGGAGGTGGGTGGTCTGATTGGGGGATGAAGATAGAGAAGGGTGGGGGTTTGAGGGTTTTTTTTTTTTTTTTTTTTTTTTAAGAAATAAAAAATATACTAACCATGGTTAGTTTTTTGATTAAAAACTTAAGAAACAACTCTCACTAATACAAGTTAGAATAACAGTTTAGTACTTGTCATATGAATACCAAGATAATCTATTTGATTCTACTTATTAGAGCAGATGGTCATAAAACTTGAACAAATTAAAGTATGTCTTGGAGAATATCATTCTTGGACTTTGGATTTCCTACTGATTGTTCTTATGATATTGTAGGTCCTAACAATATTGATCGTAAGAAATACTACGTCCGTTTTGCTGAGTTTTACTTACTATAGCTACGCAAAGCAGGAAAAGAAATAATGAGGACCATATATTGGGTACTTTTGTATTAAAGAGGAGAGAGATAGAGAGTAAGAGATTTATTAAATAAAATTGGCCCCACAAAGTGGGATTTTTAGATGATAAAAAGTGAATAAAAAGTTGTCATAAAAGGAATAAAGTAAAAGTGAGTAGAATTTAGAAAAGCGGATGAAAACGGAAAGTGAGCAAGTCTTAGGAAATTGGAGGTAGTATAATATTCAGATAGTATTAATATGTGCGCATAACATAGTGTAGTTCAAGTTTTTTAATTATTTATATTAGATTATACTTGGGGAAAAAAAAAACCTTCATGGCTCCTTGTTACTTTTTCTTACCTATATAGAGAACTTAGGGGGTGTTTGATTGGGGCTTTTGGAATGGATTGGAATAATGTCAAATCCATTCCAATGTTCAGTCGGACATTTAATGCTGTGGAATATCATAATATTTGTATCTAACTCTATTCCACCCCCTAAAATCTCATACCTAACTCACCCTCTAAGATTCTAAAATCTAAATTCATACCATTATGTATGGGATCCCAATCCAATCCGTTCTATTAGAGAGAGAATAGTGGGTGTATATTTTTAATTAGAAAGTAAGGGATGTGAGAGAAAAGTAACGAAAAATTTGAGAGTATGGACCATAAGATGAGAGATCTAATAATTAAAAAAATGTAGAAGATTTCCATTTGAAGGAGTATCTATTAGATAATGGGTCAGTCTTGCATTGAGCTCTTTAAACATATAAAAAGTTTGATGCTAATCATGTATGGTCTCCTTTTCAGCTCTTCCGATCGGAGAGTACGCTGCTGTGACTCTTCTGCTATTCTTTGGCTTGAAGTCAATCAAAGATGCATGGGACCTTCCAGCAGATGATTCCAAAGATGAAAATAAAGATGGCTCTGAACTTGGTGAATATACTGAGGCTGAGGAGCTTGTGAAGGTGAATTTCAAAACACCGAATTTTATTTTCACGATACTTATAGATCGCATATTTTTATTTTCAAAAAACACCTTTACTCTCACTTCTTTATAAGCTTATTATTACCTCTGTCTCATTTGCATCATTTCTGAATTAATAAATTTACTGCTCTAGTACTGGACCCTTAGGCTCTCAAGTGAATCTCTTTGACTCCATTGTGTCCAATTAATTATATTTTCCTTCAAAGTTTCTAATTAGGACTTTGTTTGCTTGAACACAACAAATTAAATTCACTACTTTTTATGGGGTTTACAATTGTTTCGTTTACTTTGTTTAATCTATATCAAGTATATAGATTAGATCTTATAAATTTATTAGCCCCCTCCCTCCGAGGATTAACTTCTCTGTAATGACACAATGGAGTTCTTGCTGCAAATCCAAACTTCTCTAATCATCCTACCCTCTCCCCCCCCACTTCCTAAAAAAAAATTCCTAAAAGGTGAAAAAGCTGTAATGATAATCATTGCATTAGTGACTGATAGCCTATTTTTACTGTGCAGGCTTCAAAACGACTGACAAACCCATTTGAAATTCTGTGGAAGTCATTTTGCCTTGTGTTCTTTGCAGTGAGTATATAATCGATCGTAAGTATCTGTATCTATAATAATTTCGTTTTGCTGAAACATGCTTACACTTTTGTTTCTGAAGGAATGGGGTGATCGCTCAATGCTTGCGACCATCGCCCTTGGTGCTGCACAGGTACGATATAGAACTAGCATTCATATGTATAAACTTGTATGCATCCATAAGTTTTACAATTATATCTTAACTACTTAACTTTCAGTCTCCATGGGGCGTGGCAAGTGGAGCCATAGTGGGACACCTAGTTGCCACATCTGTTGCAGTTCTTGGAGGAGCATTTCTTGCCAAATACATTTCTGAAAAGCTGGTAGGTCACTGAAATGTTTCTGCTGTTAAATTGTGCTATCTTGCTGCTCTTATTTATCATGCTCACTATATTTCCCTTTAGGTTGGCTACTTAGGAGGAGTCCTATTTCTTCTTTTTGCTGTAGCAACATTCTTTGGATTCTTTTAGTTGGATCGTGCAAGTAGAATCTATCAGCTTTATAGCCAGCTTGGAAATGTTCATACAAGTTACGCCATGCCAATTCAGCAACAGAGCACCTTAAGTAGGAAATTTTACAAATTCCAATAACCAGGTAAACAAAGTGAAACCTGTGAAGTATAGGTATTCATTGTTACTAATAAATTTTTTGTGCCTTCCTATGTATGACATTTATTTAAATTGCCATCTTGCAACAACCATTTTTGTATACATAATGATTTACCATGAAAAAACAGAAGAGTTTTTTAAGTGTTATATGTTTCATTTTTTGGCATATATAGCATTATAGCTACATTACTCTTGATATACTTCCCAATTTTTGCAGCTGCCACAGCCAAAAAAGTACTAACAGTCACCACTGTTGTCATTGGAACAAACATCACATAATAGTCCACCCCCCGTATTGAGATCTCTAGAAATCACAAGTCTTGCTTTCAAGTGTTTTAAACTCTCATTAGGGTTTTTAATTCTGTACACACTTGCTTCCAAGGGCTTTCTTCCTGGACAGTAGTTTCCCGATGATCCATGTCATTTTGTTCTAGTGCTCGTTACTAGAAATTACCAAGCAATTTGTGCTAGAGACTAATGCTTCTAATGGAGGAATAGAGGTTACAACAATTCTGGACACCCCTTAGTTTTTTCTAGAACTACTGTGTTTGCTCATTGCAGTGCTAAAAAAGGAGCACAACCTATCTAGTCAAAAGTTTCTTATACTCCGTAATAACTTATAAGAATGGCTCTTATCATAAAATTTGCAACACCGATTCAGCAGTTTGATCTAGTTGTCTAAGTTAAAGTGATTTGTCTTTGATAAACAAATACTAATGTGGTGTTCGGAACTGGGGGCAAATGCTTTGGCTAGAATGTCTGGTTTCAAGGTTTAAATCATGGCCTAATCAATTTTAACTCATAATCACTTAAGTTGATACACGACAGTTGTGAGTTACATGAGAATGTGAAGGCCTTATTAGAGAAGCTTGGACAAGGGAAGAGATGATTAATGCTTTGCCATTCCACTTGAACAGGGCGCAAGATGTGTAGGTGAAAACTCTTGTTGATCAAAAGGAGGTCTTATAGGAAGTTTGCGGTGGATATCTGAGTCAGGCTTACTATTAGCTGGTCTCGAGACTAGTTATAATACTTCTTCCATTCTATTAATATTGCAATAAGGATGAAATTACGCATCCCAAATCACATTTTATATGTTAAATATCTATAATTTTATAAGCATAAAAATTATAAAAAGTTGATATTGTGTAAGTATTTTACGAGACGAATCTAATAGATTCCACATGAACATATTTTACTTATATTAATCATAACATGTGGTCAAACAAGCATGATGAATGGTGCAAAAGTCTAGTTGTTGCAATATTACTAGAACGGAGGAAGTAATATGATTCCTCACTCTCACTATTGATTTGTATTTTTTTATTTTTCAAAAACCAAATGTAGTCATTTTCTCTCTCTAATAGCCCACATTATCTCTCTATTTTCTCTCAAAAACACCATTATCAATCTTCAAAAAATTTAAGATCTCAAATTTTGTGTTATCAAAAACTACTAAATCATGGATATTCAACAAAAAAAATTCAGGGTGCAAACAAAGAATTTTAATTTTTACTTTTTTCTTCTATACTAGAGCAAATTTGTTGAATAATTAGCGACTTTCACCAAATGCCACTAATCACTTTAATAATTCACCAAATGCCATCAAGGTTTCAAAATTTACCAAATGTCACCGAGTTTTAAGAAAATTCACCGAGTGCCATTAATGACTGACGGCCGTTAGTTGACCCCAGCACTTGCCACTTGTCATCTTTTGGTTGGTCCGTTTAAAAAAAAAAAAATAATTAAACAAAAATTAAAAAAAAAACCAAAAATATTTTTTAAATAATAATAATAATAATAATAAAAACCACCAAATCCCCACCCACCACCCTACCCCTTCTACCACTCTAAACCCCTCCCTACCGTTGAAGACCGAAGCCCTTACTGCCGGCGACCCTCATCGGCAGGCGTGCCGACGGCCTTGCCCCTTCCTCATTCCTTCTCCGTCATCTTTCCACCACCATTAAAACCCACGTTCAAGCTCAAAGGCAAGAACACGACATGCTCATTTCTTCACCATTTTCTACAAAATTACTATCAAAATGCTCACAATCAAGAATGCAACAACATGGGACAAACAATTTCATCAAACAAGCATCACACGAGAAAGCCCCAAATCGATTTTTCAAAGGGGGTTTTCGAATTTTTCACAAATTTGCATGAAATTCGACAATGAAGCAAGGATTACACATGGAAATACTTACATTGCAATGAGAAGAAGAAATTACACACAAATTGCAAAGAAAACCAGTAGAATTCGAGCCAAAAAACGAGCACCCACGAATCGAAAAGGGGTTTCGGGTTGTGTGGGTGGGTGGCCGAAAACGAAAAGGGGAGGGGAAGGGTGTTTTGGGCGGGGTGGCCGGAAATTGAAAAGGGGAGGGGAATGGGGTATTGGGTGGGGTTGCCGGAGTCGAAAAGGGGAGGGGAATGGGTGGGAGGCTGTCGGACTTTCGCTCTCCTCTTCGCTGTGCTTCTCCCTTCCCTTCCCCTTCCCGGCGGCAGGGGGGCTGGCCAAGGCTGGCTCCATGGCGGGTGACTTTTTTTTTTTATTATTGTTATTTTAAGATTTTTTTTTAAAATTGAACCAATCATATCATGACATGTGTCATGATTAAACCCTAATGACTAAACGGAGTTAATTTTTTTAAAACTCGATGGTATTTGGTGAATTTTGAAAACCTTGATGGCATTTGGTGAATTATTAAAGTGCTCAATGTCATTTGGTGAAATAGCCGAATAATTAGTTATTAAAGAGTATATTCATAATGTTCAGATTAATACTGAACAAATTTGTGAATAATTAGCTATTGAAGAGTATATTCATAATGTTCAAATTAATACTAATTTTGCTTTAGTATTATAAAATATAGAAGAAAATAGTAAAATTACCTTTCTGTAAAGGTTATTATTAAAATTCTTGTTTGCACCTTGGATTTTTTGTTGAATATCCATGGTTTAGTAGTTTTTGATACCACAAATTTGAGATCTTAAATTTTTTGAAGATTGATAATGGTGTTTTTGAGAGAAAATAGAAAGAGAAAATGACTACATTTGGTTTTTGAAAAATGAAAAAGCACAAATCAATAATGAGAGTGAGGAACATCAACGGTTATTTGATGCACCCTGGTACTAGGTGCACAACGTCTATAATATGAACATTTAATAAAAAAAATATGAACACATTACAAAAAATGAACATTTAGTAAAAAAAAAAAAATGAACACGCGCGTTACCAAAAATGAATATTTAGTAAAAAAAAATTATGAACATGCCACATAAAATAATGGACATTAAGTAATAAAATATGAACATGTAATTTTAGCAATAAAAAACGAACGATTAGTAAACTAAAAATGAATATGATCATGCCATATAAAATGAACATTTAGTAAAAAAAATAATGAACAATTAGTAATAAAGTAATGAGCACGTAAAGACAATGAACATTACATATTATAATTATAAAAATGAACATAAACATCCAATTTTATAAGTTCATATTTATAAAGAAATGTTCAATTTATATGCACTTAATGTTCAGTTTATATTACAAAAGTATTGAATTATATCGAGTCAGACTAAATTCTTTCAAAAAATTGAAGTTCATTATAAAATAGTGTTGTGTTCATATTTAAAATTTCAATCTTTATTTTCAAATAATATATGTTCAAATCCGAGTAGTGTCATGTTCATATTTATTGATGCTCATTGTAAAATAGTGTAATGATTATATTTAAAAATTTCAAGGTTTATTTTCAAAATTATATGTTCAAATTCTAATAGTGTCATATTCATATTTTATATATTCATCTTCAGAAACTATAGTTTAAAATTTATTATATATGATTGTTAACGAAAAATAGATCATATTAATTCATTATAAATTCTTTTATGTTCATTATAATGTGCTAAATGTTCATTTGAAAAATACTAATTGTTCATTTTATATATCAAATTCCAATTGAGGTTCATAAGTCCTTAACCCAAATTAACTTATGTTTATATATTAAACTAACTCAAATGTTCATAAAAAAGATATACATGTTCAGATATCTAACGTAATATGTTCATAATTACAAAAATTAAAAATGTTTTAAAAATACATAAATCGAAAACAAAATAAATTTTCGTATGCAAATAATCACATGTTCAGATATATAAATTATAAAGTACAAAATGCCAAAATTTTAAAAATGATTAAAAATACATAGATCTAAAACAAAAATAAAAGTTCATAAGAAATGTATCACATGTTTAGAATTATAATTAAGATATTCAAAATTCCAAAAATATATATCGGTAAAAATATATATTTATAGGAAACGTATCATACGTTCATATTTTTAACTTAAAATGTTCAAAATACCAAAATGTAACCAAATATAGATTTGTTCATAATAAAATACACAAATATCACACAAACTCAAGCATTGATTAAATCTAACTAGATCAAAACATCATAAATAATTTTGACTTAGCTACACCAACTATATGAAGAGGTCAAAGATGAATTTGGCATAACAATTAACAAAGATATTCTAAAACTCATCCTCTAACCTAGCGATGGCGATTTAAACAACGGAATCTCATCATCATAAAATGATCTTCTCCACCGTCTTAACCACCTTCTCGCCGAAATTGCCATTTTCGGCTTCACTTCGTTGTAGAGACTAGCTCCATTAACAAAGCTTTAATTCTTTAAATCGAAGGTTGGACAAAAAGAAATTTGAATTTGATTTCTAGAAATTATGGAAAGAGAAAGAAGAGAACAAGATGAGGAAAGTTTTTAGTAGTGTGAGGAGAAGAGAGAATTGAGGTACTTTTTCGATGTTTAGAGAGCCACAAGGGCGAGTGATGAGATTCGATCCCTAGATTACCTAAAATCGGGAGGAGAGCTCTGATTATCTGAGTTATCCCTCACTTTCAGAATGGAGGTATAAATGTGTAAAAAATCTAGAAAGTAAATAATCAGGTTGGAGGAGAAGGAAAAACCCCAACTTATTATAATACGATGTAATTTTGGAGTGGTGGACCACCTAGAAATAGGTGAAGCAGGGTTCATCTAAAAATTTGCGGTCCAAAATGGCGTGTATTTGGCTTTTCCAACGAGCTTGGGAAGCAATACAATGCCCCAATGGTCAAGTGGTCCTAAACCCATAACTAAGATATTTATAACTACTATAAATAGTGCTTAGGGGCAATTCCCAAGGACCAAGGTATGTTCAATTTTTCTATTTGTTCGTACTTATTGAGAAAGATTACAAGCGTTTTTCTTTCTCAAGAACTCGTAACTAACTTCGAGTACTCTTAGACACCCCTCGAGCTTAGTTAACTATATTAGGTGATCATGATTCAAGCCTAAGATGTTCCTGACTAGTCAAGAAATAAACTCTTGATTTGGTGATTATACCTGAAACAACACTCATATGGACACAGATGAGCGAAGAATGGGACCAAAGAATTTTTTATCATCCAAGTATTTGGTCCATTATAAGTAATAAAGCTATAAATGTAGATCCGGGAATACTTCATCTAGCCTTTCATGATTCACAATTGAAACAGTGGAGAGATTTTATTCTTACAACAATGCATCCTTCATGTTTCATGATAAGTATTCTTCTGAACTGATGGTATCTATAACTATCTTGGATGGGTGGGTGGTCAAGCATCGTGATCACAATGTTGCTGAAATCCATTACTTAGTATTTTAGTAATGTAATGTTGTCTTGAATCTCAAGCTACTTGGGAGCATACTTTAGATTTTGAGAATAGGTTTCCTAGTTTTGAGATTCAAACTTGAGGTCAAGCCTTTCTGATTGCTACAGAAAACAACTATTAGCTTGATTATAGAGAATGTGTAAGTTTTTGAGTAGTTTCGGTAGG